CCGATCTTAACGATGTTCCCCTGGATAATAATAAGTTTTTGCCTTGTTGTCTGGTCGTTTGAAAATTACCTGAAGATGAAAAACATTCTTGTAATGGCCTAATGCTTAATAAGGGCTTATTTGTATGTACGGGCAGCCTTGATTTGAAATTTTTTAACAGTAGGTTAGACTTCTCATAAGATACAGACATACAAATGAAGAATATAGTTATAGGGTCATGATTCAAAATACCAGTATGAACATTCTCCACACATTTCTTTTGCACCAAATAATTCCTTCAAAATCTAAGGTCAGTACTATGAACTACAACAATAAAACATCAGAAACAGCTATAGTATTTTGACATAAGGCCACAACAAATTGTATATTTGTTATTCAGGTGTTTTCCCAAAGTGAAAGTATGAAAGGAAAGACCTTTGTTGAAATGATAACATCATAAAGACTTTTTATAACATAAAAACAATTTCACCATTTGGTTTGGCACATGCTGATCATTCATAATCGTCACGAACATCCAGCAGAGTTCTATATGACCTATTATTTTTACCAGGTATATTTTTGCAAACTAGATACTAAAGTTTATCAAAATAATAACAAGTGACCACCAGAAACCAGTTGGTGAAAAGAGTGGGATTCTGAATCACTAATCAATTTGTCGTGGCTAAAGGTTACTGTATTCTGAGTTCACAGTCAAAGATTCCTTTCCTCCATGGCATTATCTTTCAGTTCATTGTGAATGTGTTCAAAGATGACAAAAATATGGTCATTTACAATAATGTGATGATTAACACCAAATTCCATACATGAGTGAACAAAAGACAGAAACTCTTCACATAAAATCTGTTTGTCGTTGAAACACTGAAATTAACACAAAATGTTCATCACAGGACTGGAACAGACATTGGGCCATGGCACTAACAATCTTAGTTTTTGATTAACATAGTCAATTGGTAGGCTGTCTATAACGACCAACATTAAACACTATGAAATCAAATCACACAAGAAAAGTTATTTTGACTTATTTATCATTACTTTGTTCTTTGATTTGATATAGCAAGGTGTTATGAGAATGATTTCAAGAACAAATACAGGAGAATGGTTGTATTTGTCAGATGACAAAATGGCTCCAAATATGAATTTGTTCACAGTGTAAAATATATCTAAATTGTTGATGCCTGAATGCTTAACACAGTTAATTTTGGAACATACTACACAATGAAATTACACAATTACAAACACATACACAGAAAGAGAAACTAACAAAAATTGCATCCTTATAGCGTGTCTGTACATTTCTATGTTACGTCATCTGCATTATTGGTATCTGTATGTACCAGGGCCACTTGACTTAGGTAACATGAATTTCATAATTATTCTAATGCCATAACTTACAAGACAAACACTAATGGTAAAAATTATGAATTTGAGATTTGTAAGTATTTGGTGACGTACACATTATTTTAACTTCAAAGACACACTTAATTTGACTTTCATTACTCATAAATTCTGTCCAGTTTGTATTGATAATTCTTTGATCGTATCCATATTTACCTTTAATGAATGTGTTCTGTCACAATTATCTCCCTTACAGTCTATGAAACCAGAGTTATCTCCCTTCTTTCACACACCCAGAACCAAGTTATTTCTCCTACCATTACTCAGTTTACAGGTCCATAAGTTATTCATGTCAGCTCATGTCCCAATGACAATGTGCAATACTGAGACACAATAAAACAAATATAAATTACAAGTTGTATGTACAATGCAAAATTGTACATCAGATATGTACATATTAATACAAAACATGAGTAAAAAACACATAAAAAAGTTTGCTATCTCTCAATTACAGCTTGCACACAAAAGCAAATATATTTAGCTTTCAAATTACTCTTTTACCTGGTGAAGAAACATGACTATGCCTTAGTGTGAATATATTTGTACCATTCTCAAAATATTTTCTTACAATGACAAATTCACAACAGGCATAAAATGGAATATGTGTGAAGACTATGTACAACAAAATCATTCTGGCTTATTCAAAACTCATATCAAGAGTTGAGATAACATTTTCTCCAAATTGTCAACAATTCTCGGCAATAATATTTATTATATCTGTAATTCCTAAACTTTAATCCAGCCTCAATACAATGTACTGCTCAAAACAATTTAAGGACAACACAATTCTTTCATTATAACTGTTAATCTGTCATGACATGACATGATAGATTAACTATAGTAATATGAAGGAATCGGGTAGTCCATAACTTCTTTTGAGTAGTATATGTAAAGACAAAATGAACACATGAAATTCAATCACAAGTGATGTTGGTAGAGACAGACAAACATAGAATGTGCATATCATATATTTCCTATTGTATTTGCATGTTACGATTCAACAAATAGACTATCTGTCATATCACATTCACCAAATTGGACAAGAGCAGTTATCAACATCCACATGATCATCGCCATCTTGGCTGCAGCTGTACAAAGAGCTAGTCCACACTGCATACAACATCATAAAGGAGAAACAGAAAATCCACAAACTTTCATCTTAAAAATGCATTTACAACTTATTTCCTATGCTGAATGAAGATAACTTTCTTAACCTGCTTCATCAACTCATTGAGTGAATGATTTAGGTCTCATTCTATCGGAACAGTGAGTGAGTGAGTGAGTGAGTGAGTATGGTTTTACCCCACTTTTAGCAATATTCCAGCAATATCATGGCTGGGGACACCAGAAATGGGTTTCACACATTGTACCCATGTTGGGAATCGAACCCAGGTCTTCAGCGTGAAGATCAAACACTTTAACCGCTAGGCTACCCGACGGCCCCCTGTCAGAACAGTATTTCCGTCACAATGTGTGAGCCAAATGATGGAAGGAGAGACAGGGGAGAGCCGAAGTGATGCTTATGGTTGCACACAGTTGATGCTCACTACTTTGGTGAAGCCCAGGAACATAGTGAGGACAGGTCAGGTGAAACAGGGTTTAAGGTCACATCCAAGATTATTGCACTCATATAGCACCTTGCATGCAAGTGTGTGGTTAATTGTACTTGTCCTGACTTTACAGTGCTGACAGAAGGTTGGACAGGGGCGGTCCCAGGAGAATGGTTGTAATGAAACCAAGGGTAATGATCGGGACAAATCAGGGATTTAACAGACCCTGGTACAACAAGAGTCATTACCCCGTACAGCCAATTGTCAATTGAGATTCGGACCATACATGATTGGGAAACTTCACAAATATGTGTCGAGGATGAACCCAGTCAGCATATAAATATACTATCTTGTTACAGTGACAGTAACCATTATCTTCAGCATTAGCAACATACAGGATAGGCATGTTAACTATATTATTCATCATTCCTGATTGAAAATAATTCTACATTTTGTCTGATATGACAAAATCATCAGAGGCAGATATCCCCCCTTTTTCATGGATTAAGATCAATGTATTCTTATGGAAGTACCCCAAAGAAATAAACTGAACATGATAAATGGCCAAGACACACCAAGATCGTTTAGATAAAAAGAACTGCTTTTGAGTCAAATCTTGAATCAAATCTTGATGGACAGATTGACCAAGTATTAATGTAATTTTCCAAAAAACTGTGTTGTGTTGTGGGATAATATGCTACATTCAAGATTTATATGATGAAAGTTCAATCACGTTTAAGCAAAATGAAATTTGACAGAAGAACATGCCTTTGAACCACACAATGAGACTAAATCATGTTATGTATATTTATATTTATGTAAGTTGATGGAATGGCATCCCCTTGGTGTTACAAACCTCCTAACAACTTTACCATAAACTTCCTGTCTCAAAGTCGTCATGGGAACAACACAGCTATTAAGTACACTCCCTTGTCTCTTGTGAACCAACAACCTCCTTAAGCTGATAGCGCCAAAAGAAAAGTTTTACTGGGCCCCTGGCAAGTTAAAAATAACCTTTCAAATCACTTGCTCTCAAGTTTAAAGTCTCTTTAGTTACTACCTAACCAACCATGGGATTGAAATTGTACCACTTGTCTTCTGGGTAGTTCATTTCTTAAATCATAAACTTGACATTTTTAACGATCTGCAGAAAATGAACAGGGTGTTATGCTGCTTTATGCAATACTTAGATATATTAAAACATATCTATATATAAAAACGATTTATCTCCACTTCAGATAAAATCGCTAAATGACTGTATCAAAATGTCAGTCAAGTTTCGTAATATGAACAAAAATCAAATACATTAAACCTGCATCACAGTATTATCATTATGAAATTTGTCTTCCAGTCACCCAAACCACCAACCCTGAAACTAAAAGTTATCCTTTAAGCTGAACTAAACACTCTCTAGTTATTTTATCTATGTGCAATTTCAGTATTACCTCTGCTCCACAAGAGGCCGTCTAGATTGTGTCAATCACTTTTCTACATCATTACAATACTTTACAACGAAACTATCCACACTTTTTCTCTTCCATATTTGCACACACCAGATTCCTTCATCATATCTGGTACTGTGTGCAAATAGTAACACGAGACATGAGTGTGAGGTATTTGTCATCTCCATGGAAACACACCAACAAATGTATCCTCCTTCAGACATCATCATATCAAGCGGTAGCAGTCTGCACAACACAAGCTTCACTTACAGCTCAACCACACCAACATCTTATCAACATCTCTAAAAAGAAGTTTAAAATATTTAGTACAAAAATATTACCTACCAACTATTTCATATTAGGATAACATCAATAGTTTGTTTCATTCGCCATTTACACTTCAGTTCACATATACCGTATTCAACATAATAAGCACCCATGGTGATATTTGCTAATATATTGGCAACAATCCCAATTAGCATCCCTTCGAATTGATCAATGTACACAAGACTTATTTATTCGTGTATAATCACACTCATGTGTTATATGCAGTATACACCCTTAATTATGGAAAATCAAATTCTGGAAAAATATATCTGTTGTATATAAACATTAAAGGCTGTCAGCATAAACCATGAAATTATTTTTTTTCCACCAAATCAATATTGTAATAAGAGCCCCCTATTTCTAATTTTGATAGCACCTTGGGCGCGTATTACGTTGAATACGGTAATTTCCAAATCAGCACACACTCAATAGGTTAATATTGTTTTGTGGCACGAACAACAATAATCAAGGGGAAGGTATATATTAGAAACAGAACATTCAAAGTATGCTAAAAAAATCATGGTTAATAATGCTTGATTCAAAGTGTATCGAACAAGTCTTACCAAGGAATAAGTAGTTCATAATGACCAATGACATAATACTAAATGACACGCTGCAATGTAACTTAGTAAACAACAGTATGAAATTTGAAGATGGTAAATGTTTTACAATAACAGTACATTAACAAACTCATAATTTGGCACATGTTTTCGTTCCCCTATGATTAATTTTGTTTACTAAAGTTTATTCATAAAAGACACAATCAGGGATTTACCCCATTCATATAGAAATACAATTTATATCAACATCCTAAACAAAATACCATACAAGTCATGCATCTAGATATAATCCTCAATAAAATCTTCACTTTACTTCATCATAGCATAGGGTATCTTAAATTATTTTTCGTATATAACTTAATATTTCTGTGCTCAATAAAGGCCAGGCCAATGTAAGTATTTGTTTTATCAGCTTTCATCCCCAAAACTCCTGAAGGCAGGAGAACTCTTAAATTTTAATGATGGAAGGACAAAGTATGATCAGAACTCTCTCTGGCCAACAGGAAGTACCCAGTATTAAACTAGGAGTGAGTGAGTGAGTGAGTGAGTGAGTATAGTTTAACACCGCTTTTAGCAATATTCCACCAATATAACGGCGGGAGACACCAGAAATGGGCTTCACACATTGTACCATAAAATTAGGAAATGAGGAAAAGTTTTGCAACCAGTTATGAGTGAGTGAGTGAGTGAGCTGGGTTTATCGCTGCTTTGAACAGTATATTCCAGTTATATCGCGGCGTGTCAGCTTAATGTGGGAGGAAAGCCTGAAGTGCTGCATGTGTCAAACGTTCATCAGTTTGATGACACCCACGACCATGGGTATGGTGCTTACTAACCTAGAAACATAATCAGGGTAAACCGAGGATTCAAACCCACAAGATTGGTGGTGTGTACAGTCAATTGAGCACCTTAGATGACTGGATCCCTTTAAACCATTATGAAAGTAAACAGATGTTTTCATATGAATAACAAACAAACTAGACACAATTATTATTCCAATTGAAAACGGCTTAAGAGTGACAGGTGGATCTCTAAAACAAGTAATTGAATTGGTCTGGCCATAGAATTGACTATTGATGGTGTACACCCCCTGCTTCCATGCTGTGCAGACTGTCTGACTGTTCTGTAGGACACTAGCAGTGGCGTGTGTCAGGCACTCAGTGTATTGGTTGACGATCTGATGATGGAGCAAGTGATCACATGCCCATCTGCATGTCGGCAAAGTTGTAGAAGTTGTCGATCTGCTGCAGCGCTGCTGTCAGGTTCTGGCTCACGAACACCAGCCCAGTTGTCCCCTTCGTCAGATCCACAACTGTTTCTTGGCAGTGTTTTATTACACCAGTTCCATTATACTCCAACCCAATCACAGGCCCTGAAATAGTATTAAAATACTGTGAACTTTGAGGTGGTGAGGTGAAATGGGGTTTAACATCGTGTCCAAGATTATTGCATTTATATAGCAACGTCCATACACGTGTATGTGTGTGTTTGAGTGTGGCAGCTTGTACTCGTCCGGACTGATGCCGATTTATAGTGCTAGCCCACTGAAATACCATGCAGCAGTTTAACAAAGAATACCCCACTCAGACACAGTATACTGACTCCGAGCTGACCAGTCCTTGTTTAAGCCTCTTAATGCCAAGTGCCAGACAGGGTAACAACAAGTACCATCTTTAAACGTCTTTTGGTATGACGTGGCCGGGGATCGAACACCTTCTTTTCCGCTCTCCGGACAGACGCTCTACCAATAGACCACCAGGGCGGTTGTGAAGTTTGAGGACTGACATGACCATGAGTGAATGTTGTTTAACACTGCAGTTATCAATCTTACAGCTTAAAGAGGAGCCTGTAAACAGTTGAGTCTGGACTAGACAAAGTATGATTGGTGTTATGAGGAACGGCCCATGCTGCCAACAATAAGCAGACTACTATGATGAAACACAGGAGTACGAGTGCTGCCAACCTTGAAACATCATCAGGACAAATGTTGGAATAAAACTGACCATCAATGCTTTTAGTGACAGAACTCTACACAGAAAAATGCCGCATCTCAGATGATTCACTGAGTACAGGTTTCTGGTGCGCCTAAGGGATGCAACTCTGGACAGAGAAATGAAGCACTTTAGAGATACCCTGCTGAACATACCTTGTTGTACTGCTAATGAATAGGAGTCAGTGCCAAACACTCGTTGTGCGTCTGCAGACTGCATAGAGACTTCCTTCGTCTGCATCAGGGAACAGTCAGGCTGAGGAAGGGAGAAAAAGTATTATTCCAGATATACCTCAAATTTTTCAGTTTCACAAAATGTATGTCCTTTGAACAGAAGTAATTCACCTTCATCAAGCCATATGTATGATACACTTATAATACCAAGCAACCTTTACACGATGGCTGCCCCAATCAATAGGTAGACATGTTATTTATTTTAGAAAACTCACATGGTTATTCCTCATGGCTTCTATAAATGAGATGGCCCGGTCATGAGAGCCTCCATCATTGAAGAATATAATGAGACATGACTGGAACAGAGAGATGAAACATTGAAATGCCATAAAAATGAATGGTTTGTTCTCCCTGCAGTGTTTTATTCACTCCTAGTTGTCGTTTATTTCTTAAATACATGTAACAGATTGAGACAATTAATATAATCATAATACATGTAACAGATAAACAATGTAAAAAGCAGCATTACTCCGTATTCAAGATTCACACTCTAAACATTAGTGTAATAAAGATATTATGCTGAAAACACCACAATATAATTTTCACACCTCATCTGACTTTTTCCGCCTTGTGCCGAGTGTGTAAGGGACACAACTCTTCCTGGCATCATATGTGATCTGTAAAGAGGCAAACTGCTCCCCAGTTGGCAGTGGGATATAGTCCTCAATATTCACATCCTGAAGTAAATAGAGACATTAAATCATCACCATACAAGGCAAAAAAAATATTTGTCCATGCAAGATAACAATTAGAACTCCCAAGCATCAAAATGATCACATATATATTGTCTCTCACAGTCCCTACTTGATTTCAGTAAATGGAAAAAAATGAGAAAGTTATTTAGTACATCCTGGTTATTTTTGTATTATGTGTGTTTGTTGTTTAACACCGCACTCAGCAATATTCCAGCTATTATGAGGGCGGTCTGTAAATAAGTGGGTCTGAACCAGACAATCGAGTGATTGAAAACATGAGCATTGATCTACACAATTGGTATACAATGACATGCATCAACCAAGTCAGTGATCCCATTATTTGCCTCTTACGACAAGCATAGTCGCCTTTTTTGCATGGTTTGCTGAAGACCTATTCAACCCCGGATCTTAACGGACATATTTTTGTATTAACGCTATTTCAGGCATCCCTTGTGATGACATTGGAGGAATATTGCTAAAACCGGTAAAAAAACCATGATTAGGGTTATCATGAACACCTTGACAGACCTACATAAAACTTGAGATGGCAAAGAGGAAGAAGACGGTACTAAAACAAACTTGGGTTGCCAACTGGCCTACATCTCGTCCCCCTCATCACACTAATGTCCTGAGTGAATGTGTTCTGTTGAGCTGCTACTCACCTCTGAGAGAAGGGAGAAGTTTGTCTCCCCTGGGGCGGGCGTAAAGTCGTGGATGTTACTCCAGGTGTTATTGAACACTGTCCTCCCGGCCGCCTTCATCTGAGCTGCAAGTAGACATGGGGATCCATTAACTTGCAGGTTTTACCAGACAAACATATACTGTCGGATACACGTACAACTTGAGAAGGGACTCAAATAACCAGACCTGAGATTCACATGGGATGTAAACTATTCTATGTTGCAAACATTAACACTTCAGTTAAATTCCACAGAGTGAGTGAGTAAGGGGAGGAAGGAAGGCCTGACATTTCAGCTGCCACTATATCATCCATAAGGTTGAGACAACTCTCCGACAACATCCTCCACAGCTGTTTCAATGGCAATACTGTTGCATTGGCTAAAGTTTAAATAATACACTAAAGAAAAACTGTAGAACTGTAGAAAAACAGTTGATACCAAATGATTAAACAACGTATCACTATATAAAAATAGTTGATACCCAATGATTAAACAACGTATCACTATAGACATGATAGAAAAGCAGTTGATACGCAAAGATTAAACAACATATCACTATAGAAAAGCAGTTGATACACAATGATTAAACAACGTATCATTGTAGCAAAACAGTTGATGCCCGATGACTAAACAATGTATCACTATAGAAAAACAGTTGATACGCAATGACTATCACAATGTATCACTATAGGAAAACAGCTGATACCCAATGAATATCACAATGTATAACTATAGGAAAACAGTTGATACCCAATGACTATCACAATGTATAACTATAGGAAAACAGTTGATACCCAATGACTAAATAATGTATCACTATAGGAAAACAGTTGATACCCAATGAATATCACAATGTATCACTATAGGAAAACAGTTGATACCAATGACTATCACAATGTATCACTATAGGAAAACAGCTGATACCCAATGACTATCACAATTTATCACTATAGGGCACAGGAAAACAGCTGATACCCAATGACTAAACAATGTACAGTATCACGATTGGACAAGGAAAACAGTTGATACCCAATGACTATCACAATGTATCACTATAGGACATAGGAAAACAGTTGATACCCAATGACTAAACAATGTATCACTATAGAACGAAGGGTATTGTGTATTATGCTGTGTGACTATTGTGGTGAAGCAGTGCATCAGTGAAACACTTGAAGCTGAGCCCCAGTACAAGCTTCTCAATAAGTTCATCAAACATACTGTCGAGCTGTGGGTAGGAGCACTGGAAGCAGCCTAACTTGACATTGTTGGTGGACTCAATGATAGGCTGCGATCCACAACACAAGAATATGTCCAGTCGGCTGCAGTCTCGCGTCCGGAACTGCTGGCAGGCAACCATTGCTTTGATGTCCTTGCAGTCACGGAAAAAAACACTGAAACCAAAGATATACTTCATTGACTATTGGAAAAAATATGTAGCGATTGCATATCATTTTTCATGAGAACCATGAGATAAATATGTACAAGTTATTGTAACACAATATTATTTGTTGCTGCACTTAGCAATATTCCAGCTATATATATATGACAGCCTGTAAATAATCGAGTCTGGACCAAGCAAACCGGTGTTTGATATTATGAGCTACATCCCATGCTGGTGGGGTATGATGATACACAATCAGCTATGCCTGACCTCCCGATCCATTTAGTTGCCTTATATGACAAGCATAGGCTGCTGAGGAATAGTTGGTCTGCTGATATAAGCACCAGATTATACTACCCTTATACAGTTGCTTGTAATATTCTTACACACTAAGAATGACTGTAGCACTTGTAGCACAGTGCTGTTTGTTTGCTTGGACGAATAAATATGGCAGAGTGACGCTGTGTTCAATCTTTGTTTTATTGCCAGGATTACATCTGGTAAGGGGTACCGCGGCTTGGACGTCAAGGGAGACAACTTTCATGCATCACACACTATAACATTCACTTATCGCACAATACAACAATGATACACTGCTCACCATCCTTAAGGTTAAAGATGCACAACTGTGGCGTATTGATCAATAAGAGACACACAATTCTAATAAGGCCAACTGTAACACAGTATATCATCATGATCATGCCAAAAAGGTTTTTACTTGCCTTTATTTAGCAAAGCTTTAGTTAAAGCATGTTCTGTAGTGACATGATTGAGAGATGAGATGAATGCAGCTAGACAGCATTCTAACAAACCTTGTTTTGATTGGTCCAAGGAACATCCGACAGTTCGTGCAGTCATCTATGGTTATAGTTGCAGAGTGGTCAAACACATAGATGTTACAGTCCTAAAGGAAATGTAGAACTGTACTATACCAATAACAATAATAACAATAATAATCTTCATAATACTCATCCTAATCATCATGATCATAATCATAATAGTGAGTTGTTTTTAACACCGCTTTTAACAGTATTCCAGTTATATCACGGCATGTCAGCTTAATGTGGGAGGAAAGCCTGAAGTAATGCAGGTCTCAGACATTTAGCACTTTGGTGAAACCCACGAGCACGGGTATGGTGCCGACAAACCTAGAAACATATTCGGGGCGAATCAGGATTCGAACCCACAACCATAGGTTTCTGGTGTGCCCAAGGGACGCAACTCTGCACAGCAAATTGCGGTGCCTTAGACGACTGTGCCCCCTCATAATCATAATAAGCAGTAATAAGTTACACACATTTCTAAAATATATTTATGGTGCCTATAATCATGATAATGCAGCTAACATCCAGGATATCCAATTACATAGTAATCATGGTGTCATATCAGACAATGGATTAGTGTGCACTCCAACTGCATTTTCAGCTGGTAAACATGGTAACGTAATGAGTCAAAGCTTTCTGCTGAAATCAACAATATAACAACAGTAATATAACAAAAACATCTACATCATTGCCATCGGTAATCCTTGCAAACCTAAAACATTAGTAATCATCGTAATAATTATCATAACAATGAACTGGTGAATGTTTACTTCAAGTTTGGGCATTTTGAACAGCTAGAGGACTGCAGGTAGAGGGTGGACCGTGAGGCTGAGAGTTGCAGATGAACCTGTGGTAGTTACCTCACAGTTCTGTATGACCAGCTGCTGCCCATTGACACTTCCTGGCAGTCGACTGACCGTTTCATTCTTCAAGTCTTCTATGATGAAGTCTTTCACATTCACCTGGGCTCGTACATCCCTGAAACAGAAGTAACCACAGATGTTTCGTTTGTTTGTTTGTTTGTTGTATAATGTCTCACGCAGATATAGGAAGGCTTTCTGTAATTAATCGAATCTGTACCAGACAATCCGGGATATGATGACATGCATAGGTGAAGTCAGTGAGTCTGACCACCCAATCCCTAAAGTTGCCCCTTCCGGCAAAGCATGGGTTGCTAAGAGACCAATTCTGACCCAGATCTTGACGGGGAAACACAGATGTAGTCCATTATACTGCAATGTTGGGATAGCACATTCACATGGTCTTAGGACTTCTTAGGATTTCAAAATAAAGGTTAGATCAACATGGTAAATAGGCCATTTTTATTAGATCATATTTGTCAGGTGGACCACGTATATGAGTAAGTGAGTTCAGTGCTGCTTTGAACAGTATTCACTTTCAGTCATATCCGAGCATGAGTATAATGAGAGGAAAGCCCGGAGATGCAATCTTTTACCATTTTGGCCAAACCCACAAGCAAGGGTATGATGTGAGGAAAGCCCGAAGTGATGCAATCCTTTACCATTTTGGCAAAACCCACAAGCATGGGTATGATGCTGACAAACCAATAAACATAAGCAGGTAGAAATGAGATTTGAATCTACAATCATAGGTTTCTGGAACACCTAACACCTAAGGGATGTGATTCAACACAGCAAATTGCAGTACCTTGTAAGACTGGTCCAGCAGTGCTCCTTAATAACTGTTGAACTCTTGAAGTCACAATGTTCATGTGGTGAGGTGAGGTGAAATGGGGCTTAACGTCACATTCAAGATTATTGCACTTAAATAGCAACGAGCATGCATATGTGTGTGCGTGTGTGTGTGTGGCTGCTTGTACTAGTCTAGATCCATGCCGATTTTATAGTGATAGCCAACTGAGATACCATGCTGCAGTTTAACATGAATATCCAACTCAGACACAGTATACCAACTCCGAGCCGCTTTTTTTAGCCCCTTATTGCCAAGTGCCAGCCAGGGTAACAACAAGTACCATTTTTAAACGTCTTTTGGTATGACATGCCCGGGGATTGAACCATGGCCCTTTTTGTTCTCTGGGCAGACACTCTACCATAAGACCACACGGGCGGTTGTGAAGGAAACAAAGACATTATACACATACCATAAAAAAAATGAAAAAATTCAAATTTAATTATTGATTGTTAGGTCAACAGGTCAAGAACATGATGAAAAATAAATACTTTTTCATAAAGAGGTTATTTTAAAGGACTTGATAATCAGCTTTTTTCACTCAAAATACAGAAAAATAATGCATGTTTCAGCAACACACAAGAAAAGATCATTTTGCCATTAACATGATTAAAATCCAGGGAGTCTTGACATCCACTTAATAGAAAAACTGGAATTTAAACAAACTGAACCAGAAGTTATTCATCACCCTGAAACAAAAAATCATTCAAATTTCAACTTTTCAAAGCTCTTGTGTGTTGTACATGTTTTAGCACTGAGTTGCAAGAAACATACATGGCTACTCATTGATGAAAATCTGCAATTTCAACCATCAAGTCATGAAGGTCATGATGGCTTGCCCAGCCATTTCAGATGATTTGACAATAACACACATAAACACCTTATCCAATCAATCAAACACAAGCTTCAACGGTTTTTACAGTATCAACACAGGGAGAACCATGCACGTCTCGACAAGGCCTCCTCTTGTACAACAGTTCTGTTTGTCAGAAAAATCAACAAAAATGACAATCACTTAACAGGCTGCCTCGTTACATCAGACAACTGGAGCAGAACAGCGTACCTTCTAATCAACACCCTGTACAAGGTCGTTCTTATTGATTGTGTTGATTGCTTTCATTTGTCAATAGCAATGTGAGCATGACAACACTGCTGAGCTACCTTCTGCATATCAGCTGATCATGTCTATCTATACCAAAACAGAAATGTACCTCCCAATGTTTATAACAGTCATTTCATCAACACTCATCAGAAAACTGGATTGATTGAGTCTCTTGATTGGTCTCTGAGTGGTCAGGCATCAAGGTCATAGTGTTAGACATAATGTGACTTTCTTCTTGTTTGTTTTTTAACTTACTTTCTTTATTTGTTTACTTATTTATTTGTTAGTTAATTCAGGCTGCTGTCAGGAACATTCAAGCTATGTAACAAGAGCCATTTAATATCCTTATCTTCACTGGTCAAAGAATCTAGTCATCTGAGGATCAGCCAGGTGGTCAAAAAACAATTCAGCTGATGTGACATTGCTTGGCATGTCACAACTGATGCTGTTCACACTTCAAGTTACAAAATTCAAAATTCAAAGTAATATAGCAGTCACGGGATAGTTCAAGGATAGATCATTATCAAGGTTCCATGCATACAGCATATGCTTAGAGGTTGACACACAATCAAGGTTCCATGCATATACAGTGATCCCTCGCTGCAACGCTTCCTTAGGGGTCCAAATGATTGATGAGCATTCTAGATGATGAGCGGTTTAACCGAGGTGGAGTCGTTAGTGGTAGATGACCAACAAAACAGTATACATGTTCTGCCAACCTAACACGATCTATGTTACACGTTTCAGAGTTAAAAAAAGATTAGAATAGACATGATAGAAGTTGTTTATGATTCATAGTGTAAATAAAGATTTATCGAGGAACTCAGTATCAATATGCGCTTTCAAAAAAACACATAATATCCCTTCAGCGAATTCAGGAATAACAAACTGGGTCAATAAAAATATGCAATTTGATTTAAGACATCACCAGACATGATTTACCATCTAAATTGTATTTCCTGCTCTCCAAGGCATTGTTTTATTTGTAGAGATTAAGATTACCATGTGTATTTTCTTATAAACTAAGTCAGAAATAGCAATCAGCTGTGCACACGTTTCCTCCCAATCTACCGGTGATTCAGTTAAAATGTACCCAATGATACACTGATACAACGGCAAAGAATTTTGATATATAAACTATATATATTAAAAAATAAGTATTTTTGTACAGGTGGTACGCGGGATATTTTTACATATGGAACAATTTAACCAGTCACCGTAAGGACTTCCCGCGCTACATGTATTTCAATTGCGAAAACGTTATGTTGACATTTAATAGTTAAACTGCCAAAAACATGACTTTTAACTAGTCAAGGTATGGCATTTATGATATTTGTATCCATTCTCTTGCAATTAAAGTTTGTTTCAAGGGGCCAATAGCGGTAATCTGACTGTGGTTGCTGTATATAACAGTGTGCAATCTACCGATCACTACGCATATGATTTCGCCAAAATTGTTGTGAACATTATTATAATTATTGAATGAAATTTTGAATATAATTAATAAAATATATTGCAAACATTAGTCCAGATAAACAATGAACAATTTTTTTATAACCAGATATTATAATAATAGGATTAAAATGTGTACTTCAATTGTTGATTTATATGATCACGGCGATCAGCTGATAATGTTTTTTGAGATGGGGCAAAACATCACGTCATTAGAAATCTTGAGTCTATTAAAAATGTAGGTAAATTTTGGGAGCCATGCTTTACTGCGAGCTGTAACCGAGTTAGCACCATATTGAAGAGCCCAATAGTGGGGGAACACTGTAGCATATGCTCAGTGGTTGACACGATCAAGGTTCCATGCATACATCATATGCTCAGTGCTTGACACGATCAAGGTTCCATGCATACAGCATATGCTCAGTGCTTGACACATGATCAAGGTTCCATGCATACAGCATATGCTCAGTGCTTGACATGATCAAGCTTCCATGCATACAGCATATTCTCAGCACTTGACATGATCAAGGTTTCATGCATACAGCATATGCTCAGTGCTTGACACATGATCAAGGTTCCATGCATACAGCATATGCTCAGTGCTTGACATGATCAAGGTTCCATGCATACAGCATATGCTCAGTGCTTGACACATGATCAAGGTTCCATGCATACAGCATATGCTCAGTGCTTGACACGATCAAGGTTCCATGCATACAGCATATGCTCAGTGCTTGACACATGATCAAAGTTCCATGCATACAGCATATTCTCAGTGCTTGACACATGATCAAGGTTCCATGCATACAGCATATGCTCAGTGCTTGACACATGATCAAGGTTCCATGCATACAGCATATGCTCAGTGCTTGACACATGATCAAGCTTCCATGCATACAGCATATGCTCAGTGCTTGACATGATCAAGCTTCCATGCATACAGCATATGCTCAGTGCTTGACACATGATCAAGGTTCCATGCATACAGCATATGCTCAGTGCTTGACATGATCAAGGTTCCATGCATACAGCATATGCTCAGTGCTTGACACATGATCAAAGTTCCATGCATACAGCATATGCTCAGTGCTTGACACATGATCAAGGTTCCATGCATACAGCATATGCTCAGTGCTTGACACGATCAAGGTTCCATGCATACAGCATATGCTCAGTGCTTGACACATGATCAAGGTTCCATGCATACAGCATATGCTCAGTGCTTGACACATGATCAAAGTTCCATGCATACAGCATATGCTCAGTGCTTGACACATGATCAAGGTTCCATGCATACAGCATATGCTCAGTGCTTGACACGATCAAGGTTCCATGCATACAGCATATGCTCAGTGCTTGACACATGATCAAGGTTCCATGCATACAGCATATGCTCAGTGCTTGACACGATCAAGGTTCCATGCATACAGCATATGCTCAGTGCTTGACACATGATCAAGGTTCCATGCATACAGCATATGCTCAGTGCTTGACACATGATCAAAGTTCCATGCATACAGCATATGCTCAGTGCTTGACACATGATCAAGGTTCCATGCATACAGCATATGCTCAGTGCTTGACACGATCAAGGTTCCATGCATACAGCATATGCTCAGTGCTTGACACATGATCAAGGTTCCATGCATACAGCATATGCTCAGTGCTTGACATGATCAAGCTTCCATGCATACAGCATATGCTCAGTGCTTCACACGATCAAGGTTCCATGCATACAGCATATGCTCAGTGCTTGACACATGATCAAGGTTCCATGCATACAGCATATGCTCAGTGCTTGACACGATCAAGGTTCCATGCATACAGCATATGCTCAGTGCTTGACACATGATCAAGGTTCCATGCATCCAACAAAAGAACAGGATACACAGGGGTAGAAACTAACATTTTTTGTCCACCAGTCCTTATAATGATAACATATAGCAAAAACCTTAAAAATGGCAAATATCTACTAGTCCTTATGATATCTTAACTATTGGGCAGATTGGCAAGGACTATAGGACTGGTGCCAATTTCTAACCCTGATACAATTAGTCAAGTCACACAACCTGACCACCTAATCCTCATTTTAGTCGTCTAAGACCTATTCTGACCAGGAATCAACACCAGGGCATCCCAACATATAATTCTGTGTGACTTATTCCCATAAACATTGATCCCAGTCCCACACTTAATTACTTTACTCTATCATGACACATCAAATACATATAGTGTGATATACAGGCCTCCAGACAAGGAGGTTCCAGTAAAACCCTCTCATCGAACATAAAAGCAAACATGAAGTAATTTAGCTCACATTTCAGGCAAATGATTAATTCTATCAATGGTGTTTACCTACCCTTATCAAAAGCATTGTAAACACAGCAAAGTACATGTGTTAGCCCATGTAAATAGCAGAGGTTCTTAATCACTTAATTTCCCTGATAACACTGATATTTTTGTTTGTTTGTTTGTCTTGTTTGCCTGTTGTTTAACTCTGCACTCAACAATATTTCACCTATATGATTATGGTCTGTAAATATTCAGACAATCCAGGAATTGATATCCTGAGCATCAATCTAAGCAAATGGGATATGATGACATGAATCAACCAAATCAACACATCTGACCACCCGATCCCGTTAGTCGCCTCTTACGGTAAAGCATGGGTTGCTGAAGACCTAAACTGGTTCCACTGTTGGTATGCGACGCAAGCTTAGCCCATTCTACTCCGGATCTTCACAGGTTTATCTTTATGTGGCACAGGTCATAAGTACAAGTACCCGTGAAGATCTGGGTAGGAACTGCTTGTCATAAGATCGGGTGGTCAGGCTCGCTGACGTGGTCGATTCTTGTCACTGTATCCCAAATTGCGTAGATCGATGCTTGTGATGTCAATCACTGGATTGTTTGGTCCAGATATGATTATTTACAGACCGCCATCATATAGCTGGAATATTGCTGAGTGCAGCTTTAAGGAACAAAGAAACAAACAAATAAAACAAAGGGAACAAATAGCACACATACAAACATGTCGAGAACAAATAACGGCAAAGGAATCTTATATGTCGCTCAGGCCCCAAAGAGGTTACTCCAGAATTAGACATCCCAATCAAATGTGTCATCACAGAAAAGAGTATTGATTTGATTGCCTTCTACCCACCTACATGAAGCCAGTTTCATTTATAATATATCTCACATGAAATACTAATGAGGCTGTGTTGATATCATCAACTAGTTGTAGATGTGCAAGATCACTATGGCAGAACCACAAAACAATGTCTGTTGTCATCAGGTCATAAAACTGTATTGGTAGTTCAGAAAATACTAATAAAAGAAGGGTCATCTCATGTAAAACATTGTTACACTGAGTGAATTATGCAGATTTTAGACGTTTACCACATTGGTCGAACCTAGGAGCTCAGGTATGGTGTGACAAACCAAGAAGCATAATCAGGTCGTATATGGGATTCAAACCCACGATCAGAAGCACATCAATGGATGCAACTCTGCACAACATGCACAACAAATTGCAACTTAGTTAGACCCTTGGAACTTCCTTTAAACGTCACAAATGAACATACCATAATATATTGGTGTTACATGAGAATTATGAAAATCATTTCACAAAGACTATGTTCATTCATGGTAGTTATGGTTTCTAAATATTTCGGGGAGATTCTATTTTCTGTTTGTTTTGTTTGTGGTACATTTTTATGATTGTATTCCCTTTTTTTGCCCCATATTCATATTTACCATGTTACACAGGATAAAACATGGTTCATCCAGTTCATACATGGTTACCATGGTTACATTAGCAGTTGGTACCATCAGGGTTTCAGATGGGTTCATTTTCGAATTCTGTTCTTATATTTACACTTTGCGATCAAAATATGATCAAAACCTTTCTGTTCTCATGAAGTGTTTCGCTTGTTAACCTACCTACAAACCCTAAACCTATTGTTCGTTACAGACAAAAGCAAAAAGAAATTCACATTATATTGCATGTTCCAGTACATTCGGAACATTGAAAAGTACCCTTCAGTTATTACCCGATGTATTAGTCCTTTGAACATGTTGAACAAGACAAACCAAAGACAATACCAAAATTTGTTTGTTTTGTCAATTTATACTGCAAACAAGAATGTTACTTGTTACAAAGCAGCAATTTTGTACAAAATAATTTCCACAGCATTTAAAAAATGGCAGGTACAAAAAACAAACCTACCAAAACATTCAGTGTCAACACAAACATAAACACAACCAAATTTCATTCACTGAAAAATGTTTACATTGATTACGAAATTATAGTCACCTAGCTAACCACATGTAGTTAAAATAACAACTTGACTTTGGACAATAATTGAGTTACATAAGCATGATACACAGCGATGAAGATCATTGGCAGAAATTTGTGTGAAACCTAAAAATCATGGTAATATTCATGATAATCATGATAATCATGTGATAATATTGGTTATTTACTCCTGTTGTTATGTTTCGTTATTACCTCAAGACCCAGATTGCTTTCAGTAGTGCTAAAATGTACAAAACAGATTTTTACCATATCACAAAAGTGTATCACCTTTATTGTGTTGGTTTATCAAATCGATAACTATCATAACACTATCCAATATATCCTCTAAAAAATATTACCTGCTTAATTGACGACATCTTCTGCACTTGTGTTTTGTCATAACAGTACAAGTTTTGTGAAATCCCAGCAGATGACTGATACACTCCATGGCAAAAGGGTATCGTATTACACAGCAAACCCCATTCTATCTCCAGCGGTCAAAACAACACAAGCACAGTTGTGTCTGTCTGCTTCTCATTGCCACAGTAAATATTGTCATCACTGTGTTGGTAGCAGAATTTTCAGTATATCATCAACGTTTCATCGACTTGCTTCATGAAACAAACTCAAGCTGAACATCAAACAATCATTTCCCACTGAAATTGAATTGCTTGTTACTGGTATCCAATGTTTGCTCATAAATATTGATATCACTAAGTCATTAATAACTGTGACATCAAAAATTCATCACACCTCAAGCATGTCGAGGACGTCATACCCAACAATGCATGATTACCATATTTACATATTATGTAAGTATGTCATAAATATAATCAAAAACTTCCAAATGCTTAAAAATGAGTCAACACACCACATAAAGCCATAGTGAAGTCATTGTATCCAGAAAGGCTTCATATACACAACCGATTTGGCCAAACCTTATCACAGAACAATCCACAACATCAAAGAACCCTTACATGCTTGTGGCTGACCAAACACAATACATATGAAAGTGGGTTCATAATCAGATCACTAGTCACAGGTAATCAACCATGGACGACTTGTAATCACAAACAAAAAGCCAGCCAACTACATCTTCACTGTACACTCCTCGGTACAATTCCTTCACAAGAGTATCAGCCAAGCATCGTGGCTGATAAGGTCTGAATCAACGAGACCTAGGTCACGAAATATTAATTCCTGTTCCGTACATGCCCACTGCTTGACGACATGGAGGGAAGAAGTGACTACATTCCTCTGGCAGTTTCACACAGAAATAATCAATGGTGTATTGATGACCATGATGAATGGGAAAGGCCGGGAAAATGAAAATATTCTTTATTCATGACTGACCCAGCAAAGAGTGGTGGAACTTAAAATGGGAGTCACATTGTGACTAGAACACATAACGATTACAAAGGTTTGGGGGTAGTTTCACATTATGACAAACCTACACTGCTATCAATCTCTTACAATTTCACAGCAAAATCTGATAGTGGTGTGGTGTGGTGTGGTGTGGTGTGGTGTGGTGTGGTGTGGCGTATGTAATATCCCAGTAATATCATATTATTATGATAATGAGTCAAGTTCCATACAATCAGGGTTCAATGACACACAATCAACCATGTCACCAAGACCCTAACAGGGCCGGGTGGTCAGACTCAGTGTCTCGGCTGCTGTATGTCATCGTATCCTAACTGCGTCGATCAGTGCTCATGATGTTGATCACTGGATGGTCTGACCCAGACTCGATCATTAACTGTCCGCCATCATATGGCTTAATATTGCTGAGTGAGGCGTTAAACAACAAACAAACACACCATGTTAGGTATCTTAATCACCCAATCCATCTAGTTGCTCTTACAGCAAGGCACTGATTGTTTGCTTGTTTGTTGTGTAACGGCGGGCTGTAGATAATCGAGTCTGGATCAGACAATCCGGTGATTGACATCATGAGCATCAATCCACCCAATTGGTATACAATGACATGCATCAACCAAGTCAGCTAACCAGACCACCCGATCCCGCTAGTCGCCTTTTATGGCAAATGCTCCAGATCTTCACGGGTCTGTGACGTTATGAGACCAGAGTTATGCTTACACAAGACCAAAACTTACATTGTTGAGCATATTAACTAACAGTGCAATTTCTATGAAAAAGATGGGAAACACTGACCGGGACAAAAACACATCTTACAAACATGAACTTCCCCTGACAACTCAAGTACATGTACACTGAAACCCTGGTCACCAATATCCAAAATCTACTTAAAATTGATTTATTATTTATAAGACAATGTGATTTCATAGCCACAGCAGGTCTTTGGTCTGATATTGGTTGACAATCATCCCACGATTTCACTGTAGACACAACTAAAAAACTACCTCTCGCTGTGTTCAGCGAGTTTTCTGTTGCTCCGAGTGAGTAAGTGTGTATGGTTTTAAATCATATTTAGCAATATTCCAGCAACATCAAGGTGAAAGACACCAGAAATGGGCTTCACATATTGGACCCACATGGAGAATCCAAGCCAGGTCCTCGGCATGACAAGTGAATGCTTTAACCAGTAGGCTACCCCACCACCCTATGTTGCTGATTATCGATATGAAATTGTTCATCGATAATAACTTACATAAACTATTGTGATGAAATAAAGTTTAGATTTACCGAAACAGACTTCTTATTGTCAATCATGTCAATTGCTGAACACGGAAAGCGACTGTTTTCGTTATATCCCAAATGTCCACAAAGTAATCCATGCATAAATATGTCACTGCTCACCAGTGGCGTGAAATATGTTGATTTCTTACAGGACTTTCTTGCATATTTGCTGAAAGTTACTTCTCCAATATTATATCGATAATTGATTAATATTTAGTTAGCTATTATCGATCTCTATGATCTATATTGATAGCCAAGCCTCCTATTGACACCAAGAATCATAATCAAGGCGAATCTGGTATTCAAACCCATGATCGTATGATTCAAGTTCACCTACATGCCTAAGGGAAGCAACTCTGCACAGATAATTGCAGTACTTTAGATCACTGGGCTCCTCATTTAGCTGATGATAGTACTGCATGTTTGTTTGATCGTTTGTTTGTTTGTATCTTGTTTAATGCTCTGCTCACCAATACTCTAGCTGTATGACAATGGTCTGTACATAATCGAGTCTGGACCTGACAATCCAGAATTTGACATCATGAGCATCGATCCATGCAACTGCAATAGATGACATGCAATCAACCAAGTCACCGACCCTGACCAACCAACCAATCCATTAAGTCACCTCTTAAGACCAGCATAGGTTGCTAGGCACCAAGTCACCGACCCTGACCAACCAACCAATCCATTAAGTCGCCTCTTAAGACCAGCATAGGTTGCGAGGCACCAAGTCACCGACCCTGACCAACCAACCAATCCATTAAGTCGCCTCTTAAGACCAGCATAGGTTGCGAGGCACCTAGTCCTACCCGGAACACACACTGGGGTTTGGCTGGTACAATGACAGGTACTATTAGATTTGACCCGTTTGTTTTCAGTATTTTCAAAGAAAGTGACATAACTATAACAACAATGTTTCCCTCAATTTTCTCGAGCCTACCAAAACAAAACTGAACATATCTGTCATCAAACGAATTTCAGTCAAATTCAAATCAATACAATTAAAAAGCCATATCAGGCTTATATAAACCTTAAAACATCCACAAACCCACACAGCTAAATGGTCAGTTATGTTCTATGGACTTCCTAGCCTCCAACTCTGCAGAAACTTGACCCTTTCACCCTGGGTGGGGGTGGGGGGTGGGGGGTGGACACTTTAGCTGACATGCTTGTTTTCTTATGCAAACATTCTGGGTTGTTAACAAGGAACAATATTTCGTGTAGAGATGAATATTGTCTTTACCTCTCAAGGTTCATGGGTTCAATTGGTATGTTTGGTCAATCAACATATGATAAAATTCAGTCAGACCATTTGAGCATATACATTTTGGAGATACATTTACATGTCAAATTTCGGAAATCATAATTTTTGGTTCAGTTTGGTTCAAATTTTCAAACACTGACCATGCTGACTGTTTCTTATAAAAAAAACTGTAAACATTGCTGAAATAAATGATATAGAATACACGATTCATTGACTTCTACATCATTTATGAATTTTGAAGAAAGTCCAGTCAGATATTGATATTGATCAACTAGTAAGAATGCCTTATTCCTCTTGTTAAATTACTATCACATAAAACTTTGACGAAATACTATAACCATGACAACTGTGTAAAATATATAATGAATTGGAACCCTAAGTCTATAAAACCAAACCAACAGTCACACATGTTCATTATCTCGGCCTAGCCAAGCTGTCTGGTTTAACATCCCGAACAAAACACTTTTATCATTTATGGATGTAAGTGAAAATCGATGTCTGTTGCCATCAAGCCCAGTCTGAAAATAACATTGTGTATGAACCATAGCATGCACCTGTCAAACAGGTTAGATGACAGGTGCTCTTTTGCATATCTCTGTTACCATAGCAACACTAAACAAACATTCTCTCAGGACTGCAAAACAAAGCCAATGACATACAAGAAAGACTAATGATGTCACAGCTGGTTCTACTCTGTGATATGAATATGCCTTACATTATCACTACCAAATAATTAAATATAAACAGAGCTCCAGATAAGCTTTTGGTGTTGTTGGTATTTTACCCATGCATTTTAAAATCATTGGGTATCAGTAATTCTATCTGGGTATTCAAATTTCTGTTACCCACTAGTTTTTACACATGTGGGTATTAAGTTAAATATTTAAAAACACTATTCATCTAGTCCCTGCAAATCTGTCGTCCTGTGGGTTCGAGAGCTTTATAGGACTCAAAAATACCACGATACTTCCACAAGAAAGTGTGATGGCAAATGATCATGATGTAACTGTCATCGTGTGGTTTGGCAAGGTTGACGGAATGCCCGTTTATAATTTCAAAATAAGTTGCTGATTTGCTAATTGAATACGCAGGGTTACTTCACAATATTTTGATGATACGCACAAGTTTTATTTTTGCAGCGTATCTGTAATGTTCGTTGCGTATTTGATACGCTTGGATTTTGTTTTACTGCGTATTTCTGCATTTCTGATGTGTATTTTACGCAGATACGCAGCTTATCTGGAGCTCTGTATAAATAACATTTAATCTGTAACTATGATAATGATGATATACGATATAATGGAAATCAACAAGCTATTTTTCAAAACTCACTATCAGCTAGTATCAAGATTCAGAAAATGTTTGTGACATGTTTGAAGGCATTTTAAGTCATCATTGGTTATACAGTATACAGAACCATGGTCTATATCATGAGGAATCTGTAAAACAGAATGTTAAGGCTGAATTTGAGAGATTTGTATGCAAGATTTGTTTGTTTGTTGTTTAATGCTGAACTCGAGAGATGGGGATGGAGATAGAGTTATCAGTCTGGTTGTCTGACTGAAATTTGGAGGAATTTTATACACTGCTTATAGCAATAACAAAGGGGATACCTGGGACTAAATTGCTAAAACAATCTTCGTCACTATCATAAGATAATCGTACATTGTCATTCCCTAAGTTCAAAACTATTGCATACTGAAGATATTGTAAAATATGGCAATCACCTGGTAGCTTATTCTGCAAATATATGTGTATGATAAACATTTGCCTTGCTTTTAAAACATGTTTTTAGAATCTACTATTCCAATTGCATATTGCAACCTGTTTATGACATAAAACTGTACATTATCATGATTATCATGATTGTAAAATGTAAACATGCATTTCCAACCTATCCTAATTTTTAAGTTTGTGAAAATGGAAATCAAAATATCTTTGACATATTACATGTAGCATGCATGTTTAGTTGCATTAGATATAATAATACTTTGATTTTAGGCAATCATCATATGACTCAGGAGAAGTCAACATGATCAGATGATCAAAGAAATTATTTCTATCCCTGAATTCAACATTTAATTGAAACAAATATTTATACAAACTCAGCATACTGAGATGTCCATACGCTATGAACAATTTCCTGTAAAGAAAGTTCTGTCATTATCATCAGCTGTCTATTGATTTTATCGAATTCTAAAGCTAAAAAATGTTTCAACTTATTGAATTCAAAGAATGACCATAAGCATGATAAGAATACTTCAATCTTATTAACAAGTAAAGAAAGATTTATACAATGAAGAAAATCAACAAATGC